GTGAGCACCAATATGTAACTCCAAATTTGCTGCTCAAAATCAAAACTAAAAAAGTAAACACATTCCCTGCCATATTTAAGATTTGTTCATGACTTGTATTCATAAAGTGTTGTGTAAATGTGATAAAAAGCTGTTGATTCTTACCTCATACAGTGATAGTGAATATTTATTATGCATACAATTTATTATGCATAACCGTGCTTTCTTATCCAAGACAAAACGTGAATTATCAATATGAATATAAAACGCAAATAAAAACAAATAAATGTTATCATGCTGTTGCTACAAATGCATACCAAATAAAATTGAAAATATCATCCTCGTATATTTGAATAAAAAAAGTATATACCTCGGAGTGTACCTGTCTATCGGCGAGGGGCGTCAGTGGAGCAGATTTCGTTGCTTGGTTCAGCCAAAGTACCCTAGCGCGTAACGTCTTTAGTTGTATCCGCTGACGAAGTTTGATTGAAAAATGCCGATCCCAAAGGATAATTGCTCCGTCGAATGGCGATTTTGTCGGCATGTTTTTTTCACTTTTGTTGCATGATCTGTCAGTGCAACGCATCCACGTGAGCCATAGTTAATTAAGTCACTACAATACACACAATAAGCTTTGCCTGCTACGTCAAAGCTTATTGTCCAAGAGCTTCTGTAACTTCGTCGAACTTGGAACCAATTTTAACCTTTACAGTGACTTTTCTGTCAAGCCAGTCCAATCGGAATTTATTCTTGACATTTGAGTCAATTTCTAGGATTGAAGACTCCTGATCTTTCATCAAAACGTTCATAATTCCGCTCAAAACGATCCCAGAACAATGAATTTGCGAGATGAACAGGCCGCCATGAATCAGGTAAAACAATATGTTACATGCAATTTGATTGGTCCAATCGCTTGTAGTTAACCAATCGCTGGGCCGTTTATAATCGAGCTAAGACTTCCTCAACAAATAATGCCTTCAGTGATCTGATTAGTTGAAGCTTTCATACACGTCCAATCGCAGGGCTGTTTACAAACGGAAAACGGAGAGACTGTTCGGGAGAGCTCGTGAAAACTCGACGATAAGGTACCTGACCGCTCCTAAAATTTTCTCAACAGATTTAGACGATTCACAAAAATGATCAATTTAAGAAATAAAACAGCGGATTTCCGCGGATCCGCGGAAAATTGCCATGTATGATTTTGGGGTCTTCAGCTCAATTTGTTTTGACACCATGTGACAGATGCATACCCTTTCTGGTTATATTGAAGGAAGGTCATCGACATATTCCAACTTAGCACAATTGAACCTGTTGTATCCCATTTTCAAGAAAATAAAGATAAGAACTGAGTTGGCCTTTGCGTCCCTCAACAATTGATCACAGAGATTTTCAAGTTTGGGCAGAGTTGTGGTCAAGAAAAAAATACCCACAACATATACCATATCATCTCAAACATGTTTATTGATGTCTGTGTTTGCATTATGCATGTATATATGTGTGTGTACCGTATGTATTACAGAAGTCATCTTTCTAATTCTGTCAGCATTAAGAATTGATGTGGAGATACATAGATAGTGGAATTAGCTGCAAAGAAGGCATGGCAAGGCATCAAAAGGGAGGAAACCCAGATGTGCTGATGTCCATTGATTCCGGAGTTGTGCATTTTTCTCAAGAATACTTCAAAAGTGGGAACCAGGAAATTGTGTTTAAGTGCAAGTTTCAGGACCTTACACTTGTAATGCAACCACACTTCCACCTGAACAATGTATTGTTCACACTTGCATTGTTTTGAAAACCTCATTAGTGCAGTTCTGGTTGGCTTCTTAAATCAACTGTAAAGAGAAAAAAAAAATAAACAAATTTAAACTACATACTGATAATGCATACCCCCACCTGTAAGACAGTCAATTGGTATTTGTGTAGCCACAGACATACGAAAAAGACCAGCTTTGATTCAAATGTCTTCATACCCGTTACAACAACTTCAAGCATGTGGTTGACCACATGCTTGAAGTTGTTGTTCCATGTTTTTATCAGGTTACAGAAGGAATGGCTATGGATAAGATTTTATTGATAATACTACTTTAAACGATGATGCTTATCGATCCGGTGGCTTAACAATATTCTTATCTTTTTTTGGTGAATTTTTCCGAGTTAGTGCCCTGCGATTAGCTGGCAACCAGTTCAGGGTTTCCCCCACCTACTGCCCAAGACAGCTGGGATAGGCTCCAGCACCCCCCGCAACCCTTGTGAGGATAAGCGGATTAGAAAATGGATGGATGGATGGATTTTTCCAAGTTAAACTGGAGATCTACCAAACTTAAAACAGAAAAGTTATAGTTAAAGATGAATTATGGTTATTAAATAAAATGAGAACCTCAGGCCACAAATTTATTTCGCTTGTGACCAACAACTTCAGCTCTGAGCTAATTGGATTTGCAAAGCCGGTCTTGTCAGAGCTTCTTCCACACAACAAGTGCTGGATAACGTACAAGAGGCAAAAGGACATTAACAATGTTAGATTGCGCTTGCAAGAGCTCAATAAGTGTGCGGAAGATGTATCAAGATCTGTTTCGTAATTCCTGGATGACTTAACTCTCGTGTCATTTAATCATGTGGACGTGTCGGCACTCCTCGTAAGAATGCAGCAAATAAATGCGAACAGTGACCACCTCAAAACCACTCTGAACACACAGGTAAGCTGCCTGTGAAACTTTGTGTGATGCTTTTGCTGTACAGACAGCCATGGAGAAGGTTTCAAGCTTGGGTGCATTTACTGCTGATACACCGAGTTCTCCCAATATTACGCCCCCCTACATTCCCATTAGAGTAAGTGGGCAGGTAACAGCAACGCCTGGCGTGATTGTTGATAATCTCAGAGCCGAGCTGGTGGACGCAGGATTGGGAGGCACACAGCATGGAGCATGGTGGTGAAGGAACAACGCAGAAGGAAGCAAATCTCTGAGAGCGCTGTCCAAGGTCACCCTACATCGTGCATACTTTAAACTCCAGCAAGGCAAGGGAGGAAGAAGTCCGAAATAACTGGGACAGGGACTGGAAGCAGTATACTGGCTGCCAAAACAAAGATGGTGAGTGTATTTGCAACCAAGTTTGATCTCACTGTGGATGCCGACACTCTTTGTCATTAAATGAAAAGCTGAGTCAGAAGGTGAAATGCAACGCAGTCGAGATATTACAGAAAAGATGTGTGACGTGGTGGAAATGTGCGACACGCAGTCATGGATGCACTGCTTGCTGAGTATTGTGAGAAATGATTTAATTTTAAATGCCACTTCTTTCCGTGTAACTTCATCTGCCATAGTCATCATTGTTCCACTTTCTGATTACTTCAGGATTTAGTCCCATTGCACCTGTCATTGCACATGATGTAAATAATGAGCTTTTATGAGTTTCATATTTGATGAATTTGTCTTAATACGCATTGCTCACGAGTGTGCGGCTGCCGCTTGGCCAAGTTGTTGATGCAACTTGGGATTGACAATACTGATTTGATTAACGGGTATTTTTTAAAGTAATTTTTGGCAGACAGAAGCTTGGGAACGATACAAGTTGTGTGTTTAAGGTGTGAGTGTGGGTTTGTTTGTCACACTCCTTTTGCTTGTTCATGTCAATTTATAGTTTTGAGATTTTGATGTGATATACCGTATGATGTCAGGGGACATATGACAATAGAGAGCACAAAAAGCACACACTTACTGCAAAATAAACTGGTTGATAAACTCATTCTGCTCAGATTCCACTTTAGACAAGGCATCACATTCAATACGATATCTGAAACAAGGATATAGACAGTATTATACAAGGAACTTGTCTCTAGTCGTTTGAGCCACCCTGGTATTGCAGCATGGAGCAAATACAACAAAACAAACATTAAGGATATGTACATAGGCCTTCACAACCACTCAATCACTTTGTACTAACATGAGGTTTTAATGATCATTTACCTTTCAAGTTGCGTCTTCTTCTCTGCAATGAGCGCTTGAAGCTGCTGCTGCAGTGCTTCTCTTTGCTTTGCCACTAACTTCAGCAAGTTTCTTGCTCCAATTGCCTAAAATTAGAGAATCCATGATAGGAACTTGAAGAGTTCATGTTGATTTACATCAAGGGGAGTGGGGGGGAACCAACCTTACCTTGAACTTTTCGGTCTCTGTCTCTTTTGCCAACTGATCTACAAGCTCAATTAGACTTCCAACTTTTTCCTGAAACTGTCCGATTTCTGTAAAAGACACAGAATAACGATCATATATGTTGTCAGTAGATGAGATAAACGAATCAACCGTGATGTGGAAAGAATAAGAGACGGAGGAGTCTTACTGTCGGCAAATTCTTTGCACTCTTCCTTGAGTTCTGAAGTCTTCTGGCTCACATCTGGTTCTAGTGTTCGTAGTTTGTTGAATTCATCAAAAAAAATGCCTTCCTCTTCGAGTAAGTCTTGAGCCATAGCCAGAGGGCCTAACAAACAACATTCTAAGGTTTTAACAGTTAAGAATAATCATCCATCCATTAATGATCATGGCAATCCAATCAGTTATCCTACATTTACTTTTAACATTACTCTAGTTAAAAAAAAAAAATAGGTCATACTCGAAATAAAATCTTGACATTTTTGGGGTGCTGGGATTTACTTGAGGGATGCTTCAGCACCCACTAAAATGGGCTAGACACGCCTATGCTGTGCATTGCAAACATGTTTTTTATATATTTTTTTAATATATAGTTTCGAGGCATGTATTTTTGTGTCAACAAATTTTTGTGGTTGACTTAATCGAGATGGCCGATTTTTCCTTCACAGTCTCAAATTGAGGACACAGACATTGGTCGAATAATTCATACAGTACCTCAAAGTTGGCAACACAGTTTCTGCTCTCCGCTTGCACTACCGACACGCGTGCATATAAAAAAAGCTGCCGATACTTTGTTTTATTTTGGCTTTATAAAGGTGTCGACGGTTCGGATGTACCCGCCGGCCTACTTTTCTCATAAGTGCTTTCAGTCTTTAGGTTGATCCATGACATCGATCTGTCAGGGGGAAAATGGGGATCTTCTTAAACGCTTAATGTCTCTTTATGTCAGAACACCGCGATGAATTGCCACCAAAATTCACATGCGCATCTCTACATATGCCCACTTAAACCTCTGATAATATCATAACAATCGCCACGGTATTTTGGATTGTATGGGTATTAAGCTCTTTCCTCCCCACAAACGTTCACTACAGATACAAAATAAATAAAAGTGGTTTAATGTTAGCAAACTGCAACCAATCGTCAACAAAATTCACGTACACATCTATGCTCACATCCATGTCTGAAAATATCAAAACACTCCCCCTAAAATTTGGTTAAATAATGACAGCGTTAGCTAAACTCGATACCAAATTAAACCTAAATTGTAGTGTTTCTCATTCCTACCTGATACGATATTGTGAGGGGTTTAACGGTAGCAAAAGGGTCCAATTACTTCTCCGTACACGTATTTCCCGTTGCAGAGGGTTGTTAGATGAGGGAAAAGTCCCGGAAATCTCTAGCGACTGCCACAGAAAAAAACAACGCACGCACACGAAGCAGCCGGTTCCACTGTGCCAACGTGGCGGCCATGTTGACAGGGTCAACGTTTCCGTCAAAGGCAATGCACGGACATTGAAAACAAGTCTTAACTTGCTAATTTCTTAAAATTCTTAACAGACTTTCGTGAGTTTTACTTTGTAGTTACCGCACTCCCCCCCGCCCCCCGCGCGTGTGTGCGTGTGTGTGTGCGTGCGTGCGTGCGTGCGTGCGTGCGTGCGTGTGTGTGTGTGTGTGTGTGTGTGTGGATAGATAGAACACACACACACACACATAGATGGACCCCATGATGTAAATGTTCGGTCCACAAGCGTATGCAGCACATTGCATCCTTGTACTTCCGTTTTCATTCCCGGTTCTCACTCACACACACACACACACACACACACACACACACACACACACACACACACACACACACACACATATACATACATACATACATACATATTCACGCACACAATTATGACGTAATTGCCCCTCCTAGCCTAGCATCACCGTAGGCAAACAGCTGAATAGCTTTGGTGACAGCAAAAAAAAAAATCTGCTGTTGCTTCGTATTATCCTCCTCTTCAGTTTAGACGCCTCTTTTTCTTACTGGATTCCACGGGTTTACATTTTTACATCATTCACGAAACTTTTTGAAACTGAGTGCTTGGGTACTGATTCACACCTCAGGCTACTTGTTTGATACACACAATTGAAATAACAAATTTGCTGAAAAATACATTGAATAGTGTTAATTATCTTATTAATATCTATCCAACTATTTACTTCCATTGATGAGGGGTCGGCTTGTAGGGGCAGCAGGTATAGCGGAGAAGGCCAGACTTCCCTGTCCAGGAACCACATTGGTGACCCGTTTTAAAGAGAGATCACATTTTCCAGAATTTTATTATACTGGGTAGCGGAGTAAGATGCCCCACTAAAAATGATTGATATATTATAAAATATTAAAATCTATATTCTTTGAAAACATAAATAGACCTAATATCAACACAATATGTGCACAAGAAGTATGCCCAAATAAACAGGAGGGTAATTAAATCACCTAAGACTACAGCTTTGTTTTTATAAAACAAAATGTAAAATCGCATTTAAAGAGAATTTTAAACCATAGCCTAGGAAAGTAAACGGAAAGAAAATAACATTGGCTACACTCAAAATTCTGAATCATGGGGGCATCTTACTCCATATGGATGGTGGGCATTTTCCCCACAGTAATACTTTTACAGTTTCAAATATTGAGGGAAAAAATTTATTCAGCATTTTTTGTTCAAACTAATTGATCACCCTCCACAAGACTCCCATGTTCATATTAAAACAACTTTGTGCATTCATATTCTTTGAGAAAAAAAAATCAGAGGATTATTTTTGTTCCAAAATGGTCAAAATTCCTCAAAATCAGTTCTTCGGACTCCCACCAACAGTATGTTATTTCAATGCTAAACAAAATTGAACGAGGCCGCTTGGGTCCAAATAAACTGCTGAGATTAAAATTGTCTCCCTCCATTGGTCAAGAAGAGAATTATGGACGGGGTGCATTTCCCCAAAAGAGCTGTTTCTACGCCACTCTACCCTACGGAGTTCCTAAAATGGTATGAAAGAAGAAAAAAAACCCCACCTTTGTGAGAAAACGCAATCTTTGCAAGGGAACGGATTTTTTCGTACATCTGGGTCAGTTCAACGACTGTCACCTCCAATGTGTGTCTGTTCGAAAAACAGCAGTACTGTATGTCAAAGATGTACTGTATGTCTATCAAGTCATGGAGGAGGACTTGGAACTACTGGTTTTAAGTTCACTCCAAAATAAAATAAAATTGGTTTACCTGGGGCGGCACTGCGGTCGACTGGTGCAAGGTGCGATTCCGGCTCCGGCCTTCCTATATGGAGTAATCCAAGTTTATACAGTGGAAGACATCAGGCTGACATGACATAATAAAGGTAACAACTCAACTCTCAACTCAACTCAACTGTATTTATAGAGCACTTTCAAACAGCCATCGCTGCATACAAAGTGCTGTACATGGAGCAAATTAACATATACAACAAACAGTAAAGCAAATCGGTAATAAAAACAGTAGAAAGCACCGAACAGCAAAACCAAGAACAATCGAAGTCATGCTGAGTCAAATGCCAAAGAATACAAGTGAGTTTTGAGGCGGGTTTTGAAGACGGGCAGCAAGGAGGCTTGCCGAATGCTCAATTGGAGGTCATTCCAGAGAGAGGGACCAGCAACAGAAAAGGCTCGATCCCCTCTGAGCCTCAGTTTAGTTCTTGGTACTTCTAATAATGTCTGGTCCACAGACCTGAGGCGCCGGGCAGGTGTGTAAGGGCGGATGAGCTCAGAGAGGTAAGGTGGCGCAAGGTTATTTAGAGATTTGAAAACAAATAAGAGGATCTTGAAAATAACTCTAAAATGTATGGGGAGCCAGTGAAGGGATGCCAGAGTAGGAGTTATGTGCTCCCTCTTACGAGTACCGGTCAAGAGGCGAGCAGCGGCATTCTGGACCAGCTGGAGACGCTTAACGGAAGACTGGCTGACTCCAAAGTAAAGGGCATTGCAGTAATCCAGCCGGGATTACTGCAAGGCATGAATTACTGTCTCAAAGTGTTCATGAGAGAGGAGAGGTTTTACTTTGGCCAGCTG